CAGCCCTTCCGCAGCGGCGATCAGCAGGTTGAGCTCGGAGAGCGCCGCAAAAGCCGCGTCGAGCTGAGGGCCGCGGTCGTGCGAGGCCTCGTCCACACGGAACTTGCCACTCAACCACTCGCGCAGCGACTCGGGCTTCCCTCGCGCCGGCCTGTACAGCGGCGCGCCCAGAAAGAGGAGCGCGAGAGCCGTGTAGCCGCGCCGCTCATCCGAGAACGGGTAGAGAGTGCACCACTCCTCACGCTCGTGGTCATAGTGCCGCTCGGGAGCGAGTGACGGCACGAGGGCCTTGAGCGCGGGATCGGCGTCGATGCGGCTGGCCATCCGGTAGAGCGCTCGGTAGAGGGCGACTACCACAGCGTTGTTCGCGGACGCGCTCGCCATGTCCGGAGGCGTTGCAACCTCTCCGCGGAGTGCCCGCGGTGCCTTCGCTCTTTTTGGCCGATCCACGAAGGCAAAGAAACCCGGCGCATTCGTGTAGAGGATGTACAGTGTAGAGCGCTGTAGAGGTGTAGAGATGTAGAGCGCTCTACAGCTCTACAGCTCTACAGCGCTCTACATTCTACATCCTCTGCACCCTCCCTCAGAAGAAACCGCGGTGCCGCACGCACAGCCGCGCGCTCAATGAAAGTGGAAAGGAGCGAATGAAACGCAGACCCCACACGCGCGACCCCCCCCCCCAGGTCCGTTCCCCCAACACCCTCTCACTGGACACACACACTCACCCCGAGGGAGAGAACGTACACCCCCGAATGAACTCTCTCTCTCTCTCACTCTCTCTCCGCGCACATGCTGATGTGCATGCTATGCATGCTATGCATGCTATGCATGCTATGCATGCTATGCATGGTGGCAAGTGGGCATCCCAGTGAGCCGGCCGTGGCCCCTCCGGGCGCGCGCTCGGCAGCGCGTCTACTTGCACGCCGGCGGCTGCGGCGGCGCCGGGCAGGAGGGCACCGGGCCGCAGACGTTGCCGTAGATCAGCGGCACGCCAAAGGGCTTGACCTGGACCGCGAGCAGGCCGTAGCCCGGGCCGCACTTGATGTACCCCAGCCAGGGCTCGAAGGCCATGTTGAGCCCGTTGAGCAGGTCGAACACGAAGCAGAGGCCCATCCTCTTGGCCGTCCCGGGGCAGCAGATGTCGTGCTTCGGGCAGAGGATCCCCTTGAGCAGGCAGATGACGTCGTGGAAGATGGCCGACACGAGGCAGTTGACGCCGCCGAGCGTGCAGTACACAAACACGGCCACGTCCTCCAGGACCACGCACAGCTCGTGCAGCACCGAGCCGAGCACGTCGCGGACGAGCGCCGTGACGTCGCCGAGGATGGTGCAGACCAACCACTCGACATTCTTGAGCAGGCAGCAGGTGAAGTCGAAGATGCCGTGCAGCAGCGCCGCGATCTTGCAGAAGAGGCCGCGCAGGTCCACCAGGTCCCTCACCTCGCAGAGGATGGTGCCGACAAGCGCCGCGATCTTCTCGCCGATCGACGGCAGGTTGAGCTTCTGCAGGAAGCAGACGACGCCCGCGAGCACGTCCTGAACGAGCCGGCCGACGTTGGCGAGGATGCACTGCACGATCCTGAGCGTCTTGCCGACGAGGCCGCCGACGCCGCACAGCAGCGCCTTGACGGCGCAGAAGACCTCCTTCACCGTGCAGCCCACCTCCTTGGCGATGAACTCGAGGAAGCACCGGATCGGCTTCAGAATCTTCGCCACGGCGCAGCCGATCGCCTCGAGAAGCAGCTTGACCTGATCGAGCTCGTCCTGGACGACGCAGGCGACGCCCGAGAGGATGTCGCTGACGATGCCGTCGATGCCCGGCAGCAGCGCGCAGATCGCGGGGAAGATCTTGTTGACCTGCCCAAGGATCCAAGACACGCCGTGCAGGATGGCGCCCACCAGCTTGGAGACCTCGGTGAAGAGCCAGCAGAGGAAGGTGTCGATGCTGCCCAGCAGCTCCTCCACGAAGCAGCCGACCTTTTCCAGCAGGCCGTGCACGTAGCACAGCGCGTCGCCCACCA